CAAATTAACTTATTACCAAAATCTATCAAATCATATAATTCATGCATGATCATAATTTAACTCAGTGCTTTTCACTGCCTCGTTTGGAGAAAACATATGATCATGACACTGGATATGATGATGAGAAAAACATTTAAAAAAAGAGAACCTTTGAGCTCGACGCTGCTGATGGACCGGCACCACCTAGTGACTATGTCAAGGCCTTGCCTGTGAACATGTGTGTGCTGTAGTGGAGCCTGTACTTAGCACAAAAGAAAAGAAACTTGATTAAAGAACAAAAAAATCTGTGATCAGGTTTAGAGTCAAAAGTGCAACATCAATGACGTGAATGAGCAATATGGCTCTCACAGAAACACTGGACCCAGCAAAGAAAAAGAAACCAAAGCCATGGGCACAGCCAATGGCTTGATCCTTCATGATCACTACTTGTAAAAACTCACCGAAGCTCTGAAATTACTCTCTATATTCAGTGGTCTTCCAAGATAGACGATGGATGAACAACTTACATGATTCCATTTCATCCTGCAAATTCAATTGTTACCGAGTATATATACAGCTAGTTAACATCATCAGACTAAAAACATCATATATATTTAGGGAAAAAAACAGAATCATATGTTTCAAAAATCTGATGGAGGGGTTTAGATCGACCTAACCTTTGTGGGAAGCAATGGGATGTACTGATAAATATGAACAGTTTGGGGTCTTGATGGATCCTGTGAACCGATAGAGAGCTACGATCCTGGATTCATCCAAACAACACATGGGTCAATCGAATGAAGTTGTAAGTTTGAAAGAACAAAAAAAAAACATAAGAGATAGAATCTGAGCAATCGTACCAACGCTGGAAGAAAAGCTGCCATTCTTCAAAGCAGGAAGAAGAATCGATGATTTAGCCAAAGCTGGAAGGTCATATTTTACAGAGATTCAGACCTTGACGCAAGCAAGAAACAAATAAAAAAAAGGAATGGGTTCAAAAGAAGAGAGTAACTGATTGGCGGCGTCAAAGGCAAGTGGAGGAGCTTCTTCTTTGTTGTAGTGAGAGACCAAAGTGTCAAAACAGTACACAGCCATCTCTCTGTTCGCCGACGCCATTGTTACTTCTGAAGAGAAAAAAAAAGAAAACGAAAAACAAAATTAGCAGGTAGCAGCATAGTGTGAACCTTAAATATCCAAAATCTAACTTATAAAACAAACTAATTAACAAAACAATAAGAATACAACTACCACGTATGGAACTGAATTCACCATTTAAAGATTTATATTTTCTTCTAAAACACTGCACAGAGAGTAAAGCATTCACAGAGGACAATCCATCTTACCGGCTTAACGACTGGGTTTTCTCTCGTCACAGCCTCACGTCCGGCTCAAAGCTGCAATCAAAACTCAAACACAAGCTCAATAACTCATGTCTTCATTTACTTACACACATAGGATTAATAGTTGACATCGAATCATACAGTGAACTGAAGCTCAAAACGCAAAAACTCAAACACAAGCTCAATAACTCATGTCTTCATTTACTTACGCACATAAGATCAATACTCTCGAGATCAGGTTAACGAAATAGCAATCAGTTCCAAATGTAATACGTATGAAGAAACAGATCTCAAAACCTCATAAACAATTATCAAAGTTTTAACAACCAATGATATATGGATATGGATTACGCTAGACTTAAAAAAAAAAAACCCGTTTCGAACAAATGAACCGACAAAGAACCGTATCATACCCTTATCAGAAACACATGAACCAGTAGAACCAAAACAAAAAAAAAAGAATCAGTCGAAGTTCTAAGAGATATGAAGCTTGAAAGAGAAAAATAAAAGGTGAGTCAATAAAAGCTGATAAAGACTCAAATCTTACACGTCCATCTACGAAGAGTAAATCAATGAACTGGATCTCTCCACCACGCCTTATACGCCCTGATTGCCGGAACCGGAGAAGCCGTGCCTGAACACCGTAGGAGCACCGGCCGATCTGCAAGTCAGAGAAAAAAATATTGGAAAAGGCCATCTCGTATCAGAAAATTCGTGAGCTCAGGACTTACGTGCTTTTATGGAGATAACCTAAAATTGATGTCAAGCGTGTGGAATTGAGACCGGCCGCTTATGTTACAGGCGAGATGGAGAAGCCAAACGTCGACTATCGCTGGGGAAGGGAAAGCGTAGAGGTAGAAGAAGAACCAAAAAAAAAAAAGGGCCAGATAAGAAAATGCGAAGCCCACACGAAATTGGAGTGCGGCCCAACAACAGAATTCGTGTCTGACGTGGCCTTAGTGACGTGTCAGTCTACGTGGACACTCTAAGGAGTGATGCAGGTTTACTTTATATAATAGATTTGCAGTTATTATTTTAGGCTAATTTTATTAAATAAGTCTATTTGTGCTTTTGATGATAGGATTTTATATTTTTTTTTTAAATATATCTTCATTTTATTAATTTCAAAAGCAATAACCAAAAACTAAAATCTAATCCAGCCATTCATGTTTTTCAATTTAAAAAAAAAACTAAAATCTACTACAGAATCAAAAACTAAAAACTAAAAACCAAAATAAAAAAAAATTAAAAAAAAAACAAAATCTAAAAACTAACAAAATAATCATCACCAAAAGAGTACACGTACAGCTTTTCTAAACAAGGTACTGGATCAAAAAAGCCCGGCCCACTATTGATAAAATCAGTAAAATTTTATGATAAATAAACAAGCCCAACAAAAACAAGTAAATTAAAGGCCCACTATTGGGCTTGTCTAATTAAGACAACAAACAAGGAATTAAACCAACAATAAACCCAACTAATTAAACCCCAAACCGCCAGACGCAGACGAACCCGTGCAGCTAAAACCGTTCCCAACCAAAGTTGTAGCCGCAGCAACCGCATTGTTCCGCTCCAAATGGCACAGCTGACGCAGCTTAGTGGGAACATACCAAATAGAGAGACGAGGATGAGCGTTGAAAACAGCGTCTATGTCCCATCCATGACCACAAGCGATGTTCACAAGTGGCTTGTAACAAGCCTGACGCCACGACCCAACGTTCTCACCGCGTTCTTTAAACGCTCTTCGTAGTGCGTTTGAAGCTTCTTCGTCAAGGCAGTGGAGTGCGTAGCAGTGAACGTAGTGTCGCATTTTTGGCTTGTTTATGTAACTCGCTCCTGATTTTTTTGCGTACCTGAATACCTGGTTCGTCACCTATTTAC